CGATGTTGCCTTCAACCCCACCCCTCCCCCCGACTGTACCTTAAAAAAAAATCAATAATCCCCCTATCCCGGAGCTCTATACTTCGCGCAGCGCACACGTTGAATGAACTTTGGTGACCCCATGCGATCACTGGTACTCACAATGTGATGCGAAAGTACAGGTTCACTGACCGGTCACGATGTCGAGCCCGACAAGACGCTTGTATAACTTTCTTTTTTTCATTAAGGTGAAAGCACAGGACAATGATTTATTTTCCTGGCGACACAGCGTTTGTAATGCACAACCTGTATGTTACAAATGTTGTGTTAATCAGACTGCTACCGGCAAATTTCTGGGTGGTAAAGAAAGCGAAAGTAGATCGAGCTTCGGTACCATGCATACACTTACGCTTGCCGCCAGAGCGCCCTGTTCATACCTAAAACTATCTTTTGTTTTCGAAAGAGTTAGCACTTGCAACAAAATAAGTTTATATAAGTGCCGAAGATTAGAGGTGTTAGTGTTACAAGAGAGTAACAAACACAAAAAGAAGGAAGAGAAAGATAAGGATGATAGATGTTGAATAGAGGAAAGAAGGAGCAGACCACACCAGAGCACCCACCAACCACCCATTAATACAGTCCATGCCGGCTTTAAGCACGGTCATCGGGAGAAAGCTTAAGCGTGCTTAAAGCCGAAGCGTGCTTAAGTGCGAAGTAGACATAATCCAGAGATTTTCATGTAGAAAATTCCCCGTGCTATTTCCCTTTGTTTGTAAGTAGGCCTATAGCGGTCCAGCAAAAATGTGCACTGTTATTTAGGCACCCGTCATGGTAGTTTTTGTTCGCTTGTTTGTTTTTGCTTTGTGGTCAAATGGGAAATGAAAACTTAATTTAGACTTCCAGTCACGATACAGCACACTAGGCCTACTGTAACACACTGCCTGTGCATACCACTGCCCGCTGTGCCACTCATACCACCGCCTTCATCCCACCTCGCGGGTGATACACAATCAGGATTAATGGGTAGCGAGGGTCAAAGGTGAAATCACAGCCAGCCTCCCTTCCTCATCTCCCCGACTCTCTCTTTTTTTTTTTTTTTTTTGATCGTGTGTAGCTTTGCCCTAGGCCCAGGCTAGATCCTATGTCCGCGCGAACGGCTGTGTGCATCTCTCTGCCTTCCTCTCCGCCCGTGCGAGTGTGTGTGTCCATCACTTGCGTTCTTTGTGTTTCTCTTGACACACTCCACTGTTGCGGTGTAAACTGTGTTCGAACTTCGATGGGTCATCATGAAAATATTGACTGCCTTGTAAATGAAGCGTGCTTGAAGCCGAAGTTACCGTGCATATAGGCGTGTAATTTATATAGCAAAAATTCGGTAAGAGCCGTTTAGCGTGCTTGAGTCCGAAACGTGCTTAAGGCCGGCGTGCTTATAGCCGGCACGGACTGTACTATCTTTACACACACCACACTTTAAATCACACACAAGAATACATAAACACAGAGAGAGAGAGAGAGAGACACACACACACACTCACACACACACACACACATATCATACATATATATACACGTGTGAATAGCCTCTCTCTATATTTAATACATAGCATGTTACACACACACAAATCACACAACATGCACATTGGATAAAACGATATGACGATAGCTTTATCGATTGAGTTTGTCAGAAGTAGACTTGACTATGACTTTGTACATGTAGTTACATTATAAATAAAAATCTCCATAGCCTCACAACGATTATATTCTCTCTGTCTCTAAACACACACAAATCACACAACATAGGCCTACACATTGGATAAAACAATATGAAAGCTAAAAGAGCAAATAAAAAATGAATGACCAAGGACATATTAAAACTAGAGAAGACAGTCAAAATCAAACATGGAAAAGTACATCTTTAGCTCTATGGTCAACACCCAGAGGCTATAATATTTGGTCTATGCTTGCTTTTCTGCACCAAAGGGCGTGACATCATAGCATTTTGAAAACCAATTTCATCTTATTTAAATGACTTGGGTCTCAACTCAGAATTCTAAAAAAGGAGGAACTTTCCGGGTTATCGCCAAAGAAGCCCATTTTCGCGAAACACCCATTATTATTATACTTTTGAACCCTAGAATGCTGAAATGAAAACCATCAATTTATCAAAGCAAGGTTATTTCACATCAATTTGAGGGTTTGGGAGATAATTTCAAGTAAGAGTCACGCACCAAATTTACAATCTTGATTACGTACAGAAAATGGTGGCGCCTGGGGTCTTGTGCGACTTATTAATATTTTCTCTTCATCATATTCGCCTGTATATATAAACTATATATAAAAAAATGAATCTTGTTTTGAGCCTAGAACCAGAATATGGACTGCCATGATTCATATCATATATATAGGCCTATATGATAAACGTGAAAGACAAAAATTAATGCTCTAACTCAAAGTACAGTAGAATAGCCCAAGTAGACCTATTCAGTGTGAGAGGTGTAAGAACTGTGGGAGGGCAAGATGCAGTGATACTGAAAATCTGCGAATCTTGTACAGAAAGCTAAAATATAGAAGAGATCTAATATAATCTAATATGCTGCCACCAATCCAATGAAACGCGAACACTTAGGCCGTTTTCACACAAGGCCTGCACCCACGCACACTTTACTTAACAGAGAGCTGTAGTAGTTATCAAAATTCTAAACATTAATTTAAACGTATTTGCTTCCAGTTTGTTTTTTTGTCCACTGGTGTTGCGTCCAGCCCTCCCCTTCCCCCTATCCCCGAGTGCGTCTTGAAAAAAAAAAAAAAATAATTCCTGAGTCCTGTACTTCGCAGCACTCAGAACGCGCGCAGGTTCATTGACTGGCCACAATGGCGAGCCCGACAAGACGCTTGTATAACTTTCTTTTCTTCATGTTGCCCCTATAAGTGACGACACAGTGACAATATTGATTTACTTTCATGGCGACACCAAGTTTGTAATGCCAGACCTGCATGTTACAATAATTGTTGCGTTATATGGTTCACGATGCAGGTGCAATGGATGGTTTCCAGGAAGAGATAAAGTTCGTTGTGGGAGAAAAATGAGCAAAGCCGCGTCTGAGGGGGGTGTTCACCCTTGAAGCGATCTCGTTGAATCCGAGCTTGCTAATTTAAGTCATCGTTGAATCCGGGTTATTGTTATTGATTTTAAAGAAGGAAAAAAAACGGGGAATCTATCTCCACGTTGAATCCGAGCTCGTTGAATCCGAGTTCCACTGTAATAATAATGTACCTACATGCGTGGTGTGTGTGTGTGTGTGTATAAATGGAGCAAGCGCTTTCATTGTTATACATGCCCCTGGAAAATTGAGAAGCCGGGTTGGCAGTCACCCTGCATACTCCTTCATTTGTGTGCTCTCTCTCTATCCTTCTTTATCCAATTGTGTGTGTACATCCTTTTTCATTGGGCTTGTTGGTGGATGGGTTGAGAACTTGATTTGTATTACCCGTGATTGACTGAATGATCTCTTTTCATTGTCTTACTCTTTTTGTCTCTCAGATCCTGAAAATATTACTTTCTGCAGTTTTTAAAACAAAATGATACAGTGGTGGAGAACTGTTTGTTACTTTTTCCTTGTCTCTGGAGTTTAGAAGACTCTCCCACTCTTTGTTACAGTTCAGTTTGCAAAGAATTTCTCCTTGTTTGTGGGTGGTTGGCGGGTGCTCTGGTGTGGTTTGCTTCTTCTTTCCCATCAAACATCTATCGTCCTTATCTCTTTTTTATGTTTGTTACTCTCTTGTAACACCTCTAATCTTCTGGCGCTCATATGACCTTATGCAGTTGCGAGCGCCGTAAAAACTTCTACTAAAACTAAAACTCTCCTTGTTTTTGTTTTAGTCGAGGTTTTTTGGCGCTCGCAATAATTTCTCCTTGTATATCAGAGGTTTCATATTCAAAGAGGCTGGGCCTCGCCACCTGAACCCACACCGGGAGGCAGTCCCTGGACCCTGCTAGGGGCTTATGCGCCCCCCAGACCCCCGGCAAAATTTTCCTTACTTTTCAACTTCAGCTGGTGGAAGCACTGATAATTGTAAAATGTTGTTTTTACTGTTGTTTTTACGACGGAAATATTTACAGTAAAATTTGTAACCTTTTAACCTGAGAATTGGAGACACTCCTTGTATTTAACGGGAGGAGCAACCCTCAAGGTCCATTTTCTAATCTATGTTTGTTGCTCGAGATCAAATCTACGTACACACATAATGTGAAGCATAGAAAAATCTCTTGATAAGTATTTTCATTTTTGCATAGCTACAGCGGTTGCTTTGGATTGGAAATGACCTCCATCTTGAAAATAAACAACGAATCTCAAGTCCCTAAGGCTTTCTTTTTTACTAACCATATTTTGACCAACCAGTTGCTATCAACATAACAGCAATGTTTTTTTTTCAATAAGTGAAAAATTTAAAAAATTAAAAAATGAGAATTTTCCCAATAAACCTTTAAAAAATGTTGGTTGCGTAATCGCTTGCCTATGGAAAAGTGTCATTTTTTTTGCAAATATCTCTGTGACATTGATGGCAGCTTTTTCATTTATGTTTCCTGAAAGTTTCATGTTAAAAGGATGAAACCTAAGGAAGGAGTAAGGGAAAACTGAAAAAAAAAAAGACATTTTGAGAGAAACTACAATTATTTTGAAAATTCACTATATTTTAACCCACCCTTAGGTTTTCAAAGGCTATTTACAACGGGAATAAAGACTTTCTCAATTGTCTCCTTGCAATTCTTGACAAACAACTGGTTTATCTTAAAATATCAGCCAACATCTCAATTTGCATAGCTTGACCCAAAATCGGCCAAAATGAAGGTCGCTCCTCCCGTTAATGTACATACTCGTGTAAGTAAAATGCTATCATAAGGCAAAGAACGCATTAAGGTGTATTAAAAGTAGCTGACTACTAGGTCCTGCATATTTCTGTTTTCAAAATGTGTTGAGTTTCACATGAGGTTGTTCAATAATTCTTATTCTCTTTATCAGGAGACACAACGGCTCATGGCAGAGCCTGTTGCTGGAATCACAGCCATCCCAGATGAATCAAATGCCAGATATTTTCATGTTGTAGTAGCTGGCCCTTCACAGGTATATATTTACAAATTGTATAGATGTGTTTTTTTCTTCCTTTTCCTTTTTGCCTTCTTTGATGTTAGTCAGCTAAAGCAACCATTTTTTTTGGTTATCTCTGGATTCTCTGAAGCAACCAAGATTTTAAATAAAACCCCTATGTGGCTAAGATTTGAAATGTTTGTTCCCTCTATTATAAATTCATAATTGTCCACTTATTGGATGCAAGTACAGTCAAACCTGTATAAGACGGCCACCCATTTTCAAGGAGAAAAGTGGCCTTATAAGGCAGGACTGATAAAAAAGGATTGGTAAAAATTAAGAAATCAAACCATTCCCTTCTGAGGTCCCAACTGAAGGTAGCCGCATTGTTGTTGTTGGTTTGTTTTTTGTTTGCTTTTTATTTTGTTGCTGATTTTGTGCAAGAGTGATCTACAACAGGGAACTGCTGCTTTTTCTTTCCTAATCCTTACTGTTGTCATTTTTCCTCTACTTCTTTTGTATGTTTGTCACACTCTTGTGACCCGCTATTTCCGGGGTGCCTTGAAAGTCGAAACAGACTTTGTGCTGTTGAAGCTAGAGAGGTGAGCAGAGTAAGCCTGATTCCCTGTAAAGACTTCTCTGTTGACATCCACCCCTTGGCGTTTATATGACCTTATGCTTAAAAGTGTCGCAAAACTCGTACTAAAATTAAATACAGTTGAACCTGCCATGACGGCCACATGTACAAATGACCACTTTCCATTTCCCCCCTTTCGTTTTTTCTATCTATATAATTTAGTAGTGTAAAACGGCCACCTGTCCAGCGGGGCCACCCTATCTCATCAACCCATGGTCAAGTTTACCTGCAACGCATGATGTTTTGTCATAAATTATAAATTTTGATTCGGCCCTTGACGCTGTGGAAGGGCAGTCATAATCCATTCACCTGTTGTAATTGTTAATCTCTCCAATGAATGTTTACCCAAGTTGATCAATGGGTAACAATCAATTTTTAACTGCTGGTGAGGGAAGCTTGTGATCCGCCATAACCTATAAGCCATGTCTACAACTCATACCCAAATCGTATGAGAGATGACTGGTCACTGCTTTGTTTGCCCAATCTGAAACAAAGTAACACAGGACGTTAACGGGAACTTGTGACAGAAGCATCGCTCGTTCTGGTGACCCACTGTTCGTGTTACCATGACCCTTGAACGTCATCATCTTACATTCGTTTACTACTTTGCCCTTGCACAAAATCAGTAAACAGTAATATAACAGTAACCAAAAAACAGGCACGAAGTAACAAAAAAAAACCAACCCCTTCTTACACCCCCCCCCCCCCCCCCTTTTTTTTTCAAAAGAAAGTAAAAACCATTTTGAATTCGCCTTATGGCAGTCTTAAGCCTGAGATCCGCCCCGGTTTGGATCTGAGAAGGGAATGGTTGGCTTTCTTCGATTTGATCAGTTCGCCTAATATGGCCATCCATGTTGTGTGGCCACTTTTCTCCTTGTCAGTAGGTGACTGTAGTTAACTTTTTAACCTCTTTCCTTAGGTACACAATGAATGTGTCAATACTGTGTCATTATAAATATAGATCAAATGCAAAGGGGGGATCTTGAGGGGTTCTTTAATGCAGAAAAGAATTCAGTACAGGTGATTGTTTTGGACATGTGTTTATTAAAGCAGGTTCAACTGTAGTCATACACATATTGAATGCCTGTATTTTTCTTTTTCAGTCTCCCTATGAAGGCGGGTTGTTCAAGCTGGAACTGTTTCTACCGGAAGAGTACCCAATGTCAGCCCCAAAAGTTAGATTCATGACGAAGATATATCATCCCAACATAGACAAACTTGGCAGGATATGTTTAGATATACTCAAAGGTTTGTGATAGACAAAAGGCAACACTATCGAGGTTTTCACTGCAGCGACTGCTTTCATTCATGGTGAATACAAGGGTGTGTGTTTTGAAACAAATTTTCAGTGAACTACTTATCCACCAATTGACTTAACTTTCAGGGTCTTAAGGAAAACGAAAGAAAGCTAATTCAGGTCGTCTGTTTTTTTAATTCGTGCAGTTTATTGCGGCACACCACTTACAGTGTGTGTTCTTAGGATCAGCAGAGATGCCAACCAGTACGATTTTACGTATTTTAGTACGATTTTTTGCCGAAAATACGCGAATACGACTTTTCATGAAAAAATACGCATCCTGGAATGCGAAAAATACGAGATTCAGCATGGGCGAGTAAACCTAATTATCTCAAGTCCCATCTTTTAAAAAATCAGTATCGCAGGATAAGGTCAGTAAGGTCATTTTTGCCGGTCGCGATCGTGATATTATATTCATTCAGCTTTTCCGCGTCCGGGGAGTACGTTTCATTTTCACGCGAATAGGCAGCTATGGCGGCAGGCGGAAGCGTATGTGACACCGTGGCTCGATCGGGAAAATCAAGATCTGCTTTCGCTACCACCAAGAAGTTTGCCAGCAGTTGTCTGATAACGCAACATTTGTGGCATTCAGGTTGTGCAGTATTAACGCAATGTCGGCGTGCAAATAAAATGTAATAAACACTCGGACTCGTCGCTTGTGGGGAAAAAAAAAAGAAAAGAAAATACAACAAGCGTCGTCCGATTTTTAGATTGTCTGGCTCGCCATCGTGACAGGTCACTGAACCTGCACGCATTCGCGTCATAATTAAATGCGGCATCGTGTGAGTAAAGACCATCTTTGGTGGGAGTAATGGTGTTGCGAAGTATATGACTACAGAGAATAGGGGAGTAGATTATTTATATTTTGGGTACTATGTGGGGGGAGGGGGGGGGGTATTAAGGCAACACCAGAGGACAGAAACTTGGCAGAATTTTGATTAGAGCTTTCTGCTAAGCGCGCGTTGGTGCAGGCCGTGTGCGGAATCGGGACCCCTCATACTTTGCAAGTCTGTGTTATATATTGAAATAAAGTGTTCGCGTTTCATTGGATGGGTGAAAGTAATTATACCTACTTGGATGGGTGATAGTAAATTATACCTATATCTACTTGGATGGGTGATAGTAAATTATACCTATATCTACTTGGATGGGTGACAGTAAATTATACCTAGATCTACTTGGATGGGTGATAGTAAATTATACCTACGGTGTATGTTGTAGCCTTCTGTTCAAGACTGGCAGATTTTCAGTGTCACTGCATCTTGCCCTCTCACAGTTGTTACAACTCTCACAGTCCACGGGTCTACTTGAGCCTTTCAAGTTATTGCTCTTCTCTGAGTTTGAGCAATAATTTGAGTCTGTCAGTTCATAATATGAATCATGACACCCAGACTGGTTCTTGATAGTCGAAATTCTTGTTCTAGGCCCTTACGAACTCTCAAAGCAGGATTTATTTTTTTTATAATAATGAGAGGAAAATATATAATAGATTGAAATACTTTTAAAGTCAAACAAGACCCCTGTACGACATATGTTGTTGACTGCATATACATGTATATTATACGCGTGTGTGTTCCCTTTTCCGAGCTGGTGAGCTAGTAATTTTTACAGTTACTAGTTGGTCGGTCGTGGGAAATACACATTTTCCCCTGAAAATACACATTTTCATATTTCCCAATACTCATTTCGGTTTTCTGTGTTTGGCATCTCTGGATCAGCCATGTTTGTTTGAGTTTACCGCCGCAGTTCCTGTTGTCACGGGAATTGTCAAATTCGTGGTCTGGCCCAAGCTGTACTGTCTCGTTTACTTTTCTAGGTCTCTGGTAGTACCCATCTGTAAAAAAGCTGTGGTATTGCTAAGGTATGCACCCTGAATATATATCCAAACTCATCCAAAACCATCTACAACAGTAGGCCTACCACTTTCCAAAACATCAAAATCAACAGAGGACAACACCTAGCTTTCACTCACACTTCGGATCTGGGCAATACAGCACCGAGTCCAGATGGAGTACACAACCAGATCATTAAACACGTGCCCACAGAAACTCTCACCCTTCTCCTCAACATATACTATGACATGTGGCAGTTGCTCACCTTTCCAGAGTCCTGCTGACTTGCCACTGTTATTCCAATTCCGAAACCTAACAAAGACCGCACACACCCATCCAACTATAGACCAATTGCTTTAAGGAGCTGTCTGTGCAAATTAAAGAAAAAAATGATCAACAGGCAACTCGTGTGGTTTCTGCAGACTCGCTGAGAGGTCTCTTTTCTCTATGACATTAAAATCAAGTCAAAATCAAGGACCTCCAAAACAACATATATCTGTCTGTCCCGATGAATATCGGTCGTAAGACGCACTGTTCTATTATCAGCTAGGGGGCTCGAAAGGCATCATTGTTTGTGCCTGTCATCTGGGCGATGCCGTCACGAAAACGCATTGCTTGGAACATGAAAAAATTATAGAGGCCTTAAGGTTGTAACATTGTGAGCCAATACAATGCTTCAGAGCAATTTTGAAATGTTTTTGCCCCTTTCCTCTAAATGATCATTTCTAGGTTTTAAAAGCTAAAAACTAAAAAAAACGTCCAAGATAAAAACATAAAATTTGTAAAGTGCACCATGCAATTTCAAATGAAACGAAGCTAGCTTTTTCTAATTTTTGAGAAAAAATATTTTTATAATGATTTTTTTTACTTTGCTATTTTGACTATTTTTTAAATTCGCTAATAATACTAATATAATGCAAGTCTTCTAAAAGTAGTAAAATTATTATTTACAATTTCAAGAAAACTAGCGTCATTTTCTTAAGATTTGTGTGCAGATTACAAATATGTAATTAGTTTACAGATAGCATGGATGGCTTTTGACTTTGAGTTTTTAGCTTTTGAAAATGGTCCTTCAGATAGCCCGGTTTCACTCTAATTTGCCATTTCTGGGATTATATTATAACTGATAATGATTCCCAAAGCCGGATATTTTTAATCCTTGAATGGAATACTTTGAGAAAATTAGAAAAAATAAGTAAAAATAACTTATCACTTAATTGTAGATTTTGGTGCTAAGAAGTAAGATTGTGGCCTTAAAAGAGCTCTGTGCAAAGCGCGCTTGAAAGCATTTTTGGCAGATCTTACTTTTTAGTATTTGTTGCTTCAAAATGCAATATCTTTGCCTATAAGAAAGATAATTGAAAAATCTAAAGTGCATAATAATCATGAAGATCCCAGCTTTCAGAAAAGCACAAAACTCATAATTGCCCTGAGGTGACCAGTTCCTGATTTCCTCAAATGGGCTCACAATGGTGAAGTCAGTTCAGTGTTCATCCTGGTTTCTGTGTGTGTGGCATTGTGGTGAAATCAGGCGCTTGTCAAAATAATAAAATCAAAGAAGCAAGCATTTTTCGGCTTTACACAATTTTTGCAGTTTTTTTCTTTTTTTGTCTGAGCACTTATAAAATTTCCATTTTTAAATTTAAAAACACATTTCTGTGTTGGTTTTACCCAAAAATGTTGATCAGAGGCACAAAAATGTAAACTTGCAATTTCCAAGGACATCCAAACTTTGGGTGTATTCAAACTTTGGTGGCCATTTTGTTCACCAATCTTTTAAATGTTCTCTGAATATGTTCTTTGTCATTTTGTTTTACTCTGTGTATTCTTTGGTTTTGTGTTTATTCCAAGTGGTAAAGTGTTACAGGGGGCTCTCGTGGCCTAGAGGTTAAGGTGTTCGCCTCTCATTCAAAGGTGTCGGACTCCCCCCAGGGCAGTGCCATTGACTGTAGTGTCTTTAGGCCATTCCCAAAGGGGGGAAATTTCTCGTTCAAGCATAGTAGAATTGTAAATGGGCTGACTCATGTCACGCTCCTAACTGTGCCTGATCTACAACAGGGAACTGCTGCTTTTTCTTTCCTGATCCTTACTATTGTCATTTTCCTCTACATCTTTTGTATGTTTGTCACTCTCTTGTGACCTGCTCTTTCCGGAGTGCCTTGATATTCCCTGTAAAGACTTCTCTGTTGACACCCACCCCTTGGTGCTCATATGACCTTATGCAGTTGCAAGCGCCGTAAAACCCTCTACTATAAAAAAAAAAGGTCTCGGGTTCACATCAGGGTAGCGACCGACGGATAAATGGGCTTCTCTTAAATTGTCTCCTTTCACCTCCTTTCCTGCTCTCCAACAATGTTCTGTCATGTGCTTTCATCATTTCTGCTTTCTGACCCAACCCCTCAGCTCCTTTGCCCCCTCTTCTAGGCTCCTGACTCTTTCTGCAGCCTTTTGTACTGCTACTCCTTGCCTCCTTCTTACTGCTGTTTTTCAGCCACACCCCTGATCTTCTGGTAGGAAAGATCTACACCTTGCCTTCTTGGACAAGGGCGAAAAATCTCGGAGGCCCCATGTGCAAGTTGAGCAAATAAAAGATCCCTTTGTGGTCTAAAAATCGATAAGAGTAGGCTTCAGCCTCCACCCGAGCAAAATTCAAAATTTCCTACCAACTGAAAATGTTTGGTGTGTTCTGTGCATTCATATGACCTTATGCATTTGCGAGCGCCTTAAAACACTTACTAGGAAAAAAAAAGTGTTACAGTGTTGCTTGTGTAAAAAATAATTTTATAATCCTATGTGTCCGAATGAAGATGGCATGTCCCATGGTAGTGTGTTCAGGGATTTCAAAACCGAAGAAGAGATCCCATGTATTTAATATTTTTATGATTATGTTTGTTTCCACTTGCAGACAAATGGAGTCCAGCACTGCAGATTCGCACAGTTCTCCTTTCCATCCAAGCACTCTTAAGCGCCCCCAACCCAGATGACCCCTTAGAGAACAATGTAGCAGAACACTGGAAAACAAATGAAAAGAGCGCAATTGATCAGGGTAAGTAGTATTGTCGTACAAGTAGTCTCCGCCGAAGATCCTGGTGCTAAGGAGCAAGGAAAATGCGAGATCTGAGGCGAACGGGATCTAACCCGAAGCACGAAGGGAAGAATCCACGGTGACTCGTGTTCACAACTGGTAAAATGGTCTCCCTTTACTCTAAAATGACCCCTGGATGGGTTTTTGACTTATGTCAAGCAAAGAGTGGTCAACTTTGAAGACTTCACAGTGGCATGAGGATTGCCATTTTCACCTACAGTAGTCTCCGACTAAACGCACGGTGCTCGGGAGGGCTCCTTAGCGTGTTTACACGGAGAGTGCATTTACATGAACCTCAGCAAAGGGAGGAAGGGACACAGTCTTCTCATTGCCTTGATATACTAGTTACCTCCCTTTGGGGTGGGGGTCACTTTGGCCAATAATGTGACGACACGTGACTGTTTTGTCAAAGCTTCCCTGACTGCGGTTAAGGCTGCAAAGGCGATGAATTGGTATGTGTGTGGGGGGGGGGCAGAAAGACAGACTAGATGTAATGAATGAACCATAAAATGTCAGAAACCAATTGCCTGAAAAGAAATTGTTGGTGATAGTCATAGAGACGACGGCCCAACCACGTGGCTTTCCAAGCGACCACCCCCGACCGTAAATTCATGAACGAGCATTCACGCATGTTGCGCATCATAGGCTATGGTCTAACTAAACATTAGCCAACACGCAGTCACTCAAACACCAGTCAGAAACCTTCTCTCAAAAGAGATGCATTTGCAGTGACCAATCAAATAACATTTCAGTCCCCCAAACCCCTAACATTTCACTGACCAGTCCTAGACCTATGTGTCAGTGGAAAGTTGGGTGTGAAAACGCTGTCCATCACTCTCTTTGTCCGGCGTAAGGGGCAGTCTCACCAAATATCAGGTTTTCTAGGCTTGTAGTTGTGAAAATTTCCCTTAGTCAAGCTTTACCTGTGAGTGTGTTTCGCAGATCGGAGCATGCGTTTAGAGGGAGTGACCGTGCGTTTGTACGTCTAGATTATATAGTAAAAAAACCGTCAGATGACGAAAGCGTGCGTTTGAGCGGAGCGTGCTTTTGTATGGCGTGCATTTAGGCGGAGACTACTGTAATATCCTCTCGTGAGCCTCAAGATCTACGCTTATCCAGTTACTCCTCCGCGCTTTTCCCTTTCGTCAACCCGCAGCCACATCCCGAATCGTCAGCCACATCTAAACCCTTGACATGGGTCAAACTTCAATTTATAGGTAGTAACTGGAACATATATAGGCGAAGTGATGATGTGTCATGTGATAGTCGCAATATTGAGATTGTTTTGGTCTCTCTTTAATCATCATCTCGCGAATTTGTTGATGTTTTTCCCTGGACTCGGCCGTTACTAAAATCTCGAATCTGGATCTAGTTATAATCTAGTTGCAGGTTTACATATCTAGTATCTAGGCCTGTGTATGGATGTGACCTAGTCTAGATCTAGATCTACTTTTTGCCAAGAGGGATGAGTATTAGATCTGCAGGTGTCACTAAATTAGGTCTAGATCTAGATCTAGTATAGAGCCACAAGGACAATCTTAAACCTGTGTTCGTTTTATTTCTTACTTAGATGGTTAGATGACTAAACACGATCTCGTATTGACAATATAAAAGTCAATTTAAGCTTCATTTCGTTAGAAAAATGTGTAAGTTTTGCTGGCTTCTTAGACTTTGTGTTCAACACTTTCAACAAAATGAAGCCTTACAAGCCTAGGCTTGGCCTTTAATTGTAACCTTGAAGGTTTAGAAGTAGAAGTAGAAGAGTCTACTACTAGAGCCGTGTCCCATTTATTTAATCTCTCGGATTCCAGAAATCTACAACTTGCAGCTAGATTACAACTAGATCTAGATTCGACATTTTAGTAAAGGCAGAGTCCAGTGAAAAACATCAACAAATTTGCGGGGTGATGAGTAAAGAGAGACCAAAACAATTTCAATATTGCGACTGTCACATGGCACATCAGTCATCACTTCGCCTATACATGTTCCGGTACTACCTATAAATAGATTTAAGTTTGACCCATGTCATAGGTTGAGATGTAGATGACGATTCGGGATGTGGCTGCGGGTTGACGAAAAGGAAAAGTGCTGCTCCTCCCCTCTACCTGTTCAAAATTTATAGCTTTCCATTTTAGACCCACCCCCCTTTCCTTTGTTGCTACGCACTATAAAACTGCCAATTTTCAGCCAATTCCATTCACAAATGTAAAATAGAAGGTTTTACATTGCTGTTCAATATTTTGGTTCCGTTTTCCTAGCTTTGTTTATTCCTCTATGAGAATTTTCTCTAAAATACCCACAATTCCTGACATGTACAAAGGGACAACTTCTTTATTTATGGACCAGTTTTCAAGAAGTAAAAAGTATTTTGCATTTGGAATATTAGTCTTGTTATTTATGCTGTTTATAGGTTACTAGTACTTACAGAGATGCCAACCAGTACGATTTTACATATTTTAGTACGATTTTTTTCCGAAAATACGCGAATACGACTTTTCATGAAAAAATACGCATCCTGGAACGCGGAAAGTACGAGATTCAGCTTGGGCGAGTAAACCTAATTGTCTCAAGTCCCATCTTTTGTCAAAATAGTATCAGTATTGCGGAACTGGAATATTTGAAAACCAATTCCGATCAGGTTAGTAAGTTCTTTTTTGCCGGTCACGATTGTTAATCTTTTCCCCGTCCGAGAGTACGTTTCACTTTCACACGAACATGTGGCTATGGCGGCAGGCGTAAGTGTATGTGACACCGAGGCTCGATCGGGAAAATCAAGATCTACTTTGGCTTTCATTACCACCGAGAAGTTTGCCAGCGGCAAATAAAATTTAATCAATACTCGGACTCGTCTCTGTGCTGTAACTTGTGGGGAAAGAAAAGAAAATACAAGTGTTGTCCGATTTTTAGATTGTCTGGCCCGCCATCGTGACTGGTCAGTGAACCTGCACGCATTCGCATCATAAATAAATGCGGCATCGTGTGAGCAAAGACTGTCTTGGTGGGAGTAACGGCGTTGCGAAGTATAGGACTACGGAATAGGGGAGGGGATTATTGAAGGCAACACCAGAGGATGAAAACTTGGAAGTAAATTTCAGAATTTTGATTAGAGCTTTCTGCAAAGCATGAGTTGGTGCAGGCCGTTTGCGGAATCGGGACCCTTCATACTTTGCAAGTCTGTGTTATTGAAATAAAGTGTTCACGTTTCATTGGATGGGTGATAGTAAATTATACCTACAGTGTATGTTGTAGCTTTCTGTTCGGGAATTGCAGATTTTCAGTGTCACTGCATCTTGCCCTCCCACAGTTGTTACAACTCTCACAGTGCATGGGTCTTCTTGAGCCATTCAAGTTATTGCTTTTCTATGAGTTTGAGGAATGATTTGAGTCTTGTCAGTTCGTAATATGAATCATGACACCCAGACTGGTTCGTGATAGGCGAAATTCTTGTTCTAGGCCCTTCCGAAGCTCAAAGCAGGATTAATTTTTTATATAATAATGAGAGGAAAATATTACAACAGACTGAAATAACGTACTTAAATCAAACAAGACCCCAGTACGACACCTAACACTGACGTGTTGTTGACTAGATACCTGTATATTGTACGCTTGTGTGCTCCCTTTTTCGAGTTCGTGAGCTAGTAGATTTTTTTTCTGGAAATATTGCTGGACACCCTGAACATTTTACTAGTTTGTCGGCCGGTCGTGGGGAATACACATTTTCCCCTGAAAATACACATTTTCATATTTCCCAATACTCATTTCGGTTTTCTGTTGTTGGCATCTCTGTGCTTAGAACCTTTAAGCTGTGGGAGTACTTCTGTAAAAGAAAGCATGACTGTGAAAATTTAGCACAGTGGTTCAAAGGGAAATTTTAGTCCTGTGGTCTGGCATTGTAGTGTACAAAAAATATGGGTGTGTCAGGGCTTGGTAAGATAAAACAATTTTGAGCGATATTTCAAAAAATTGAATTTAAATGTCTAATATTTTTATTTTTAAAAATCTCTTTACAGCTCGGCAGTGGACGCAACTGTACGCCAAGTCCAATGTGAATAGCCACTGAGTGTGAATTGTCCTAGGTCTTTTTGTAATAAGCTCATTCTGTTTGTGGGACAAAAAAGATTTCTGATAAAAAAAATTTCACCTTGGATACTACAAAGTATCTGTTTTATGTTTTGAGTGAGCTGCTGCAGAAATTTCGTCTCATCAAGAATGACGATGCTGTGTAGCCTGATTTAACTCTGATGTTGTACTTTAGCTGTAAAATTGTGTATAAAAATATGAAAGTCTGAAATTTCTGTACAGGTGAGAGTCCCTATACCATGTAGCTTATATGGTAAGGACAATTTGTTTGAGCGTGAAACCCATTTCGACCTTTTTTTTAAAAGCTACTTTGCTGATATTAAGAAAAGTAAAAATGCAAGTTCTCTTTTTAATGATTTGTATTGCCTGTGGAAATGCTTTGGCTGAGCTCTTCCTGTCTGTTGCTGCTTAGTTGGTTCTGATTTTTGTACTGTCAAAATTGTTAATTTTTACGTCCATGGGGCTACACTTGTTCAGCATGCTTTCTACAAACCATTTTGAATACAAAATACACCCGCATCTTTTGTTCTCTGTTAGAATGTGACCATTTTGTGCAGTTGGTTCATGCGCTCTGTATTTATTCAGATTTGTCAAATCCCTTACTGCTCGATGAAAATCCAGCCGCAGGTATCTTTTCTGAAGCTATGATGAAAGTGTACTGGTAAATTTGCAAGTATGGAATAGTCAAACAGTTAAGATATTTTAGGCAAAGGATGTTTGAGTGATGGCAGGTTCTTCAAGTTTGTGCCATGGCATTGAGTACGGGCATCATCCTCCCTGACACATTGCAAAATGAATTACATTGTGTACTGAAGTGAAGCAGAAGTACGACCTGGGTCCTTATCAGTATGGAAAATGCATTCCTGTGAGGATACAGACGTCTGCTTTGTTTTGAGTATCTCTTTGTAGAGCTGTTGTCTGAAATTTTATCTGTTTCCAAAGTGTTTAGTTTGTCTTCGTGATTGATATGGAGAAGAATTTGCGGAGTGCAGCCTCTTGTGAAGTGAAAGTAAAATTCATCTTTAAATAAACTATCGCATATATGTGTCGCACCGTGGTGGAGTCAGGCGCTTGTTAATTTTAGGGCATATGGAGTTATTGGTATTATCTTAAAGCTTGTTTATTTGTCTTGCTTTTTGGCGGAAAAAAAAATACCCATCTATCTATAGAAATTGAGATAATTGTTATTGAAGGAGATGGGTTTCGCCTGGTGGCAGAGGTAAAATCGACAAAAAAATGCCAAAGTTTGGCAACTTCCAAAGCTTGCATATCCTTGAAAACTGTAAATCTACATTTTTGTGCCTTTGCTCAAAGGTTTTCAATAAAATCTACACAAAAATGTGTTTTTAAATTAACAAATGGTATTAA